GTTTGCGCTTCTGCGCGAGCGGCAAACCAGGAAGTAACCCGTTCCGGTATTTCCGGGTTTGTCGCGAACGTTTGCTGAAATGGACGCTAGACGAGGCGGACTCAAAACGAGGTACCACTGTACTTATTGTCCATTAGGTTACTTAGACCATTAGCTGAATAAGTGTTGGCATTTCATGCCGCAGAAAGCCGCAGTTCCTACAGCTCTGTGATGTTTTTCCACTACAGTGGTACCCTGCAAGACGAACGCCTCGCAAGACGGAAAACCCACTAGACGAAAGGGTTTTCCGTTTTGGAGGCGCTTCGCAAAACAAATTTCCCTATGGGCTTGCTTCGCAAGACGAAAGCCCATAGGGAAATCTCCGGGACAGCGGGGAAGCGCAGCGCGTCTTCCCCACTGTCCTCGGACCTCCTCCCGCCGCCCGGCTTCGGAACGAAGCTCCGATGCCGGGCGGCGGGGCGGGGACGCCTCCTCCTGCCGCCCGGCATCGGAACCAAGCTCCGATGCCGGGCGGCGGGGCCGCGAAGCCTGGGCGCGCTGATCTCAGCGCGCGCAGGCTTCGGCATGCTGGCAACTCTCCGCAAGCAGCGGGAGCGCTCCCGCTGCTTGCGGAGAGGTCCGCGAAGCCTGTCCAGGACAGCTTTTGAAGGGGGGGGAGCAAAGACTTTCGCCCCCCGCCCGCCTTCAGAAGAGGTCCTTGACTGCCTTCCTCTTCAGGACCTCTTCTGAAGGCGGGCGGGGGCAAAAATCTTTGTCCCCCCTGCCTGCCTTCCCAGGGGCTTTTAAATCGCCCCGGACAGCGGAGAAGTCCTCCGCTGTCCCGGGGTTTTTTTAAATGCTGGGGGTGGGAAGAAAAGCCCTTGTCCCCCCCCCCAGCCTTCAGAAGTGGTCGGGGGACAGACTGTCCCCGGACCTGGTCTGAAGGCGGTTTCCCTAGGAACGCATTAATTGATTTTCAGTGCATTCCTATGGGAAACCGTGCATCGCAAGACGAAAAACTCGCAAGACGAAGAGACTTGCGGAACGAATTAATTTCGTCTTGCGAGGCACCACTGTATTTCATTCAGCTCTCTAAATAATAAACACTCTCAAAAGGCTGCATTTCATTAGCGGGGGGGACGGGGACTATTCCTACCTCTTTTCCTCAACCATGACTCGTAAATGTACCTAATTCATAGGAGCTGCACCAATTCATATTTTCCTGGAACAATAGCAATCAGAGAATGGCTCAAGCCCAGAGAATGTATCTGGAGTTGTCTGATGTAGTTCCATCTCTGAAGATATGCAGGTCTGAGCCTGGCTAGTACCTGAGCAGGAGACTGTCTGGAGGAAAGGTGGGATTTAAAAGGAAATACTTTAAACACACACAGCACTTAGTAGCCAAGCACCTATTTTTTGATCAAGTCAATAGTTTTTCTGGAAGATCGCTTCTAAGAAGTAGGGCTTTGAGGGACTGCTGTCCTGTCTCTAAACTGACCCTTATCAAAGCAAAGTTAGGAACAGGAGAATGGAGGAGATAAGGTAGCACTCATTTAGAGGCTAAATTTTGCACATAGGTTGCCAGTTGCCGCTAACCCCAAACATGGATGAAAGTTGCACCTCCGTGAGTAAACTTCCGTCTGAGGTTCATTTTATTTTTATGTGTGTTATGTTCCAATCCCTTCTCAAGGGCACATAGGCAGTGTTTCCGTTAAACCAAGCCTCAGATATACAATATTATTGCATGGCACTCCTTTTTTTCAAAATCTGACAAGTCGCAAAAAAAGAAGCCCTTACTGTTTTGGCCCAGGCTTGAAATCTTGTTCCAGAGAGTATCTTGGAGCTCAACAGAAATCCCCAGCTCCAACCACATGTCTTCAGTTTCTGACCACTGGCTCCTCTTCTCGTTTACAGAGTGGAGGCTGCGAGGGGGAGATTTTCAGTGGAGAAGGGGAACTGTGAGAGAGCAGGATATGTCATAGACACAGAATCATAGAATCTTAACAGTTGGAAGGGACCAGAGGGTCATCTAGTCCAGCCCCCTTACAGTGCAAGAATGTCAACTAAAGCATCCATGGCCGACGGGCCATCCAGCCTCTGCTTAAAAACCTCCAAGGAAGGAGAGTCCACAACCTCTCAAGGGAGAGGTCTTTTTGTTTTGTTTTAAAAGTAGATTTGCTGTGCTACAGCAGCAGAGCATTATAATAATAATAATAACCATTAAGAAATTATATACCACCCTTCTTCAAAAGGCCACCTCTTTTTTTTTACAGCATAGCAACGTAAACCACCTAATGCAAATACGTAGCATAATCTTCATTAAATACAAAAAGCAGAGTATAATTATATAAACACGGTTCATAATAATTAGCAATGTATAATAACGCATAATGCCGAAAGAATACTTAATAGTACATAATAAGCATCAGGGTCAATTTTGTCACCCTGTCAACTTTCTTTGGGGGGAATTGGTGGTGTTTAATAAATAAGTCTGCCCAGCAGCAAACCCTAGAACTCTTCCCCCCTCTACAAACACAAGAGCCTCATATTATCTACTCATCTCAGGTACAACTAATTCACTTTAATTGCCCAGATCTAAGTTTCTTGTGTGCACTTGAATCCCTCCCACAAAATACTGGCAGTCTGAGGTTGATGCCAGGATCGCGCGGAGGCAGCGGAACACAACGTGAGGTCCCCAGCTCTTGGAAACCCGTGAAGGGTTAAGAAGAACGACAGAGTTAGTTCGCTGCGTTGTGAGATGAGGAGACATCTACTTGCACAGCCAAGGCAGCGTATTACTCAACGTGTTAATTAAATTAAATCAGAACTTGTTTTGAATTGAGTGGGAAAGTATCAGGTGAAGAGAACTCGAGCCATTCCTGGCTCAGTTGTTGCAAAAAGAAGCTATATAAACGGGTGGCCAGCCTGCAGCTTGCTGTTTTCCCAGGCAGCAAGCATTTGGTTGTGCTTTTCTGTATGTTTCCTCGTCCAAAATCTTCACCACTTGGGAAACAATTTGCATTAGTTCTTCATGCGTTTCTGCCTTTTCTGTCCAAGAAGCTTGACATAATGTGTGTGGGGTTTTTTTTTTAACTTGGCAGGGCTTCACTTCCTTCTCTGCCCCCCCTTTCTTTTTGGAATTTGCTACAATATATTTTTCTGATAACTTTCCAAGAACGGCAGCGTTGTTAATGACTTTTGGAGCCCTTAAACAAATTGCTTATGTGTGTAGAATGTGCTTCTCTGCCCATATGTGGGGAAAAACAAAAACCCTTTGGGTTCTTTTGTCCAGTCTTACAGCAGGCTTGCAGATGGCTTGGTCACCTGCGGCGAGTAGGATTGCTTTCAGGCAGGGGCACTTTACAAACATATTGTTTTGTGGAAATACTGAGTTAGGCGAAATTGCGTACAAGTAACTGTTAGGGGAAATTTGCGCTAAAATGTTGATGGATTTTCATGGGGGCTTTTTTTAAAAAAAGCTATAAGCGGATGTGGAAATATAGTTAAGTCGATTTAAGATTTGGAAAAATGAGAAACTGAAGTAAAGCTAAATGGACGGATTCACCCATCCCTAATTTACACAGCGTGGTTTTGTATTAATGGCATACGATTATCACATCTCTCTGTAAATTGCATTGGAGTAAACATTTTCCTAACAAACAAACAAAAAGCATATAAAAACAGATATTTAAAAGTGAGTGGCTTCTTGCTGGGATCATTGTTTTGACCATGCTGCAAGCTACATAGTCGTGAGCTTGCTTGGCAAGCTGGACTGGTTTCCAGCATCCTAGGAATTCACAGTCTAGCTGTTGCTCCTCCTCTGGGTATTTTCCAAGCTCTGCCCTCTTCTAGCACCACCCATTCTATTCAGTATGTCATACCTGATGATTTGAGGCAGTGCTGTTTGAAATTGACATGCTGTGGATGTTCTTAGAGGCACTGCATGGTAGGTGAATCTTTGCCCCAGCCCCACAACAGGAGGAGGGGCCAGGCCATATAGGTCAGAATCATAGAATCTTGGAAGGGACCCAAGGGTCATCTAGTCCAACCCCCTGCAATGCAGGAATCTCCATGACAGATGACCATCCAACCTCTGCTTTAAAACCTCCAAGGAAGGAGAGTCCATAACCTCCCGAGGGAGACCGTTCCATTGTCAAAAAGCTCTTACTGTCAGAAAGTTTTTCCATAGGTTTAGTTAGAATCTCCTTTCTTGTGGCTTAAAGCCATTGGTTCGAGTCCTACCTGCTAGAGCAGGAGAAAAGAAGCTTGCTCCATCTTCCATGTGACAGCCCTTGACATATTTGAAGACGGCTGCAGGTGGCGTGTGGGTTAAACCACAGAGCCTAGAACTTGCCGATCAGAAGGTCGGCGGTTCGAATCCCCGTGACGGGGTGAGCTCCCGTTGCTCGGTCCCTGCTCCTGCCAACATAACAGTTTGAAAGCACGTCAAAGTGCAAGTAGATAAATGGGTACCACACTGGCGGGAAGGTAAACAGCGTTTCCGTGCGCTTCTCTGGTTCGCCAGAAGCGGCTTAGCCGTGCTGGCCTCATGACCCGGAAGCTCGCTCGGCCAATAAAGCGAGATGAGCACCACAACCCCAGAGTCTGTCACAGCTGGACCTAATGGTCAGGGGTCCCTTTACCTTTATCATATCTTCTCTCAGTCTCCTCTTTTCCAGGCTAAACCTACCCAGCTCCTTCAACCATTCCTCATAAGGCTTGGCTTCTAGAAGTGTTCCATCTCTTCATACAGAATTCAGTGAAGACACAACCTTGCCCATTTTGCCTGGGAAGGGCTGTAGCATCTGCTTTGCATGCATAGGGTCCCAGGTTTGATCCCTGGCGCCTCCAAACAGGGCAGGAAATGTTCTCTGCCTGAAACCCTGGAGAGAGCTACTGCCAGTCAGTGGAGACAGTACTGAGCCAGATGGACCAATGGTCTGACTCAATATAGGGCAGGCTTTCTAGGCCTAATATTTTGAAAGCATGGTAATTCTTGCATCTGCTATTTTCTTCTGCAGGAAAAGAAAATCAGAGTGTCTCTGCCTTTGACAAGAGGACCAAGTGCCTTTATACCAGAAAAGGAAGTAAGTTTATTTTCCCCACCTTAAATGTGCAGTAATGATGACGGGACAGATTCCTGTTGAATGATGTTCCCCCCTGCACCCTGTGTTACTTCCTGAGTGTCTAAACAGCTTTGACCCCAGGTTTATATCAGGCAGGTGACCGCTTGGCTTAAATTTCTTGGATGAGAATTCCAGAAGGGAAACTCGCCTAGGAAACTCACCTGTTCAGCTCAGTCACATGACCTGGCAACCTGGCATAGAACACTGATTTAAAGGCTTGTTTTCCCTCTGCCAGGCTTAGGCAGAGCAGTAGCCGCTGCCCCTGCCGCTGAACGGGGCTCGGATCTGGTGTAAACATACGCTTACACCTGCGTTCTTTATGCCAGCTTCTTGGGCATGCAAGCATGCATTCTGTTGTGTGTTTCTGCAGGCTTTAATTTCTACTGAATGTTTATTTGCTAAAAAGATTTCTGGATGCACGGAATTGTTAAAAACCCTTTAATAAAGTAGGCTGTGATTATAGAAGTTTGTGCAACAGTAGATATTCTGTAGAGGCTATCTCACCAACAAGTTCTACAGAGATGGAGTAAACGAACATTTGAACTTAGTTTGTGGTAGTTATGGTTGTTGTAGTTGTTTGTTTTTGAAATGGTCAGCTCCTTGAGGGTCTCATAAAAAAGGTGATGAAAATAATAATAATAATACCACCTTTATTGTCAATGTACAATCTGTGTACAATGAAATTAACCAAACCTCCCTCCCTCCCCCCCAACACTCAATCTCATTGCACTCTGTGTGCTTGTTGCACAACACACCAACCCCAAAAGTCAGTTGCACTATATTATTTTCCATTCAGCAGCTTAACAGCCCACGGATAGAAACTGTTTTTAGCCTGCTGGTACCACTGATTATAGTACAGTATAGAGGTAAATATGTATCCTCCCTAGCTAGCTTGGTTTGCTTATGTTCCATGTAGGTTATCCAAGCCAACAGTCTGAATGAACGCATGCACCTGCTTGTGGAAGAATATTCTACATCGGGCCGCCTAGACAACATCACCCAGGTCATGAGTTTGCACACTCAATACCTGGAGTCTTTCCTTCGCAGCCAGTTTTATATGTTGCGTATGGACGGGCCTCTTCCTTTGCCCTACCGGCACTACATTGCAATCATGGTATGTACTCAGAAACTCTACCTCTTATTGTTTCCTTCCCGGTTGTAGTTGACATTTGTATCCTTTCCATCGCTTCTGTAAATCAAACCAACATTTATTTGTTTCACTTTGTGAGGGTTTAAAAAGAAAAGAAAAAGGGTGAGATCTCACAAGTCTGGCATTTTAAAGAGCTTTAAATTCCAGCAGCTGGGCTTGAGGCAGGATCGAGCCTGGCTTCAGAAGAAAGGCACCAATCCCAGAGTATTAAGGGATTTATACCACAGCTTGCATCCCAAGGTGATTGACATGAAGCCATAAATGAAATTGCTTCCCAGCGATCAATTACATGGACTATGTGCCAGATACTATTATAAAATATATATTTCACACACAGGAACTGCACTCTGAATAAGTTATATGGATTTAGTTATTCAGTAAAGAAATTTTATTTATTTGCAAAATACATTTATAAATTCTCAGCAGTGATCTGCTTCCCTTGGAACCTCAGGCCCAAGGCAGAATGTGGTTCCCCAGGCCTCTCTATCTGGCTGTTTGACCTCTGCTCAGAGCACTCCCCTCATTGGCCTTGCTTTCCACACCAGGTGTCTTTGTGTTCTTGCCTGGCTGGAATATGTCATAGCTCAGTAAGGATCTGAACTTAAACTTCTCCAGTCCAGGCCCAGCCATTGAGCCACCACACACCACCTGCTCCTCTTTAAATTTCCATTTAAAATAAATAAAATGCAAAGCATAGTCCTTAAGTAGCCAAATCCTGCAAGTAGTCAAAATATATTACTTATCATTCATATGTTCGAAGTGTTTCACATATATTAGTCTGTCAACAACAAATCTATGAAGTCCTGTAAACTGAATCAATATTCTTATCCCCATAGTGTAGATGGGAGGACTGAGGCTCAAAGCTGGTGGCTTTCCCAAGGCCACGTTTTGAATTCACAGCAAGATTTGGCTGGAAGTGTCCTGGCTGCTCGGCTAGGGCATACTTGCAGACGTTCAGTATGCACATTTATCGCTTGCTTGATTTTTAAAATCATGCTTTTCAAAACAGGTTTCTTGCTCTGTCATCTGCCTTTCTGTCAGAGAAAATGAACTGGGATTTCTTGCACATGTGTTTAATGCGTGGTTCTCCGCCTTTATGACAATGCATTTTTCTCTCTTGTGCCTGTGCTCTCCTCCTTTCCTCAAGGAGAGTAGGCAGCTTTTGATCAGCTCACTTTCATCTTTGTTTCCGACTCCAGGCTGCTGCCAGGCACCAGTGCTCCTACCTTATAAACATGCATGTGGATGAGTTCCTGAAGACTGGAGGGATCCCAGAATGGCTGAATGGCTTGGAATACGTTCCACAAAGACTGAAAAACCTGAATGAAATCAATAAGCTTCTTGCACATCGACCCTGGCTAGTTTCAAAAGAGCACATTCAGGTATTTACTACAAATGAGAAACGCTCCAGTATTTGCATATGTGTAAATTACTACAGTGTCTATGTGTGTGTTGTTGTTTTTTTAAAAAAGGAATTAGATCTGGGAAGGAGGGACTCTCATCGAACATCTTTTTTTAAACTGGTGAGCTTAGCTTCGGTTTGTTTGCTTGAGTTCCTTGAAGCCAATTTCTTTCTTCTGCAATCGGCCTGCCTAGGAACCCTATTTAAGCTTTTTTCAGAAGAGTGGTGTAATGGCTAAGTCATTTTTGCTCAAGCAATAACAGGTGGGGAGAGAGAAGACAGTGATTTTTTAAAAATAGCATCCAGGATACAGAAACAGCCACCTACAATCCTGGTTAAAGGCACAAGATCCCATAGGAGCATAGGAAAGTGCCTTAGGCCAGTGGTCCACCTTGGTATATCTAGCTCAGTAATGTATACACTGGCTGGCAGTGGCTCTGCAAGGTGTCATCAGGGGACATTCCCAGTCCTACATGGATTTGGTACAGATTGACCTTGGGATAATGTGTGTACAAAGCAGATGCTTTGTCATTGAGCTGTGGCCCTTCCCATCTGTTGCCCAGAAGAAGACAGGGTTTGGGAAAGGCTGGTAGTGCTTAAATAGTGCTTGCTTGTGACTTTTAAAAAAATGTATTTTATTTATACTTTTCAGATATATACATTTCACTGATTTTACAATCATGTTGGCATTTTAAAACTTGGCTTCTTTCCCCCTCTTTCTGTGGTTCCTTAAATTTATTTTTAATATCTTCTGCATATCCAAATTAACTTAACATACTCATTTATTTATCTTCTTTATATATATATATCCTTATGTAGCTGCAGGTTATTACAATAATCCTGCCAGTGTTTCTGTTTGTTTACAATATATATGTCAATATTCAATAAGCCATTTCCATTCTTTTATAAAAAGTTTGTTATCTTGATTTCTTACTCTTCTGGTAAGTTTCGCCATTTCTGGGTATTCCATAAGTTTTTGTATCCGATCTTCCTTCTCTGGGACTTCTTCTTTCCATTTTGGGGCAAGTAACATTCTTGCCACTGTAGTCACTTACATGAATAAATTTCTATACAATTTAGGTAGTTCTATCCCTATAATTCCCAAGACAAAGGCTTCTGGGTTTTTTTTACAAATGTTATTTTTGACATCCTTTTCATTTCATTGTATAACATTTCCCAGTAACCCTTAACATTCCTACAAGACCACCACATACAATAAAAAGAACCTTTCTCTTTACATTTCCAACACTCATTTGATTTAGTTTTATACATTTTTGTCAATTTACTTGGTGTTAGATGCCATCAATACAGTGGTACCTCTGGTTGTGAATGGGATCCATTCCAGAGGCCCATTCACAACCTGAAAAGAGCGCAACCTGAAGCGGCGTATCTTCGCAGGTGCGTGGCACAATTTGGTGCTTCTGCGCACGCGCGAACTGCGATTTAGTGCTTCTGCGTATGCGCCGAAACCCAGAAGTAACCCTTTCCGGTACTTCTGGGTCGCTGCAGGATGCAACCTGAAAAGACGTAACCTGAAGCAAACATAACATGAGGTATGACTGTATATCATTTTCATATAATTTTCTCTTAAATGGTAGCATGCTGTAAATTTTATATCCCTTGTGACTTGGCAGCCGTCTGGGATCGTTTGATACTGATGCTCCCAACTTACCCCTCTCAAAATGGAAACTTGGAAGAGACCAGATAACTGTTGCCTTCCTGCCACTGGAATATTCCGTCTCCTTCCTGTGTCTGCATCTAACATATATGCATATATCTTCCTTTATTCGTTTGTTTCAGAAACTTGTCAAGACTGGGGAAAATAATTGGTCTCTTCCGGAACTGGTGCATGCTGTGGTCCTCTTGGCACACTACCATGCCTTGGCAAGCTTTGTCTTTGGTAGTGGCATCAATCCAGAGAGAGATCTCGATACCTCGAATGGCTACAGGCTCATATCAGTTAACAATTTCTGTGTCTGCGACCTTGCCAACGACAACAACATTGAAAACGCGTCCCTCATAAGTAACAACTTTGGGGTTAGTCTTGCCAGATTCCCCCCCCCTTTAATTCCCATTTTGCTTGTCCCACTTTTTTTTCTTACTTTTTTTGGAAGGGGTTTGCAGGGTGGAGAGGAGGTACATTTACTGCTTGTGGTTGAGAGATCAGCTTTTTCCTGTGTTTGTCAGGGCTGGGGAATAGGGAGCTGAAACGCAAAACCCAGAAGAATTGGGATCCGAGTTGGGTGGGGTGTTGCGGGCAGATCCAAAAGGGAGGTCAGTTGAGAGGCAAGCTAGCTCTGCAGGACAGAATCGAGATGTCCGTTTCAGGGGAGGGGAAGCAACACCGGACTGCAAACGCAGCACTAACATGAAATACATTTCTCTTTCGCAAATCGTAAGTGGTGCAAACTCTCACCAGAACACCACTTTGCTACTGCTGGTCTATGGCCATAATAAACTGATCGCTCCTCCCTCCCAGCCCCATTTCCCCACACCTTGGTGTCTTCACTGGAACCAGCAAAATGACAGGCAGTCTTGAAAAGAGCCTTATTCTGTTGCCCAGGCAGTGTCTGAGGTTGCATCTGAAAGCACTTAATAGCCATGTGAGGTCAGGAGGAATCAGTGGGTTGCTGGGAGGGGCAGACCCATGCCAGAACATGGGAGGATAATGTTACTCCTTTCTTCTCTGTTGCTCAGTTCTTCTCCTCCCAACATCTGGATGATCATAAACATTTTCACCCTCATCCTTAGGATGACCAAATTCTCCTCAGCTACCGTTTTGATTCCAAGTGACAACAGTCTAGTTCCATCCTGTTCCAACCAGAGCCTGTCCCTTTTGTACAGCCCTAAACGGCAAACCTTTCTAGAGGAAGGAGCTACAAAGAGCTCTTGGGTTCTCCCAGACGACTAAAAATTGCCTTTTCTAAGATGGCTTTCACATTCCTTACCAAGGATTCTGTTGGCCGTATAAATCATGCAATTACGTTTACGAAACATCAGTAGGCAGAGGTAACGAATGGTTTTCATGCTGTAATAGTGACTTACTTATGAAATGAAAAGTGGCTTTCTCAAATGATGTGTCACAACTTCTTTGGGATACTAAAAAGGGGGGATCAGATATCATTGATTGACTGGCTTAGAGTACAGTGATACAGGTAGATTGGGGGCAAAAGTGACAGTGTGCGGACTCTTAGGGGCTGAACTGGCAAATGCACAGCAGCATATCGGATTGGAATTTGCAAAGAAGAGCCGGGCACAAAAGAACTAAAGGAACGGGCTGGGTATGGTCCGAGCTTGTGGGTTCTGCAGCTGCATTGCAAACACAGAAAGTGATTCTAGACCCAAAAACAAGCTTCCGAAGGTTCTCTGCTTTCATTTTAAAACAGAAAGGAAGCTTCTTTCTCTTAACTGCTTTTACAATACACTTAAACATCTGTGGGCAATGCCTGCTGAAATTCCATTAGCCAGAGGAGTGGCTGGATCAGATCAGTAGGATTCTTTAATGGGCCCCAGGAACGTTTGCATGATTCAGGCAGGCCACAGAATTTGCTTGGTGCAATTTTAAATCTGTTAGTGCATGCAGTGCACAGACCTGAGCGTCTCCCCAAAACTGTTGAGTATGGAACTGGGGGCCGGAGAGGGAATGATCTGTATTCGATCCTGAAGGATGTGATGTGTTTCTAGATCTCAGATTCTTTAAGTGAGCTGGAGGCCCTAATGGACAGAATGAAAAGGCTGCAGGAGGAGAAGGAGGACGAGGAGGCCTCTCAGGAGGAAATGGATACTCGCTTTGAAAAGGAAAAGACTGAGAGCCTCCTGGTTGTCACTGAAGGTACTGCTCCTTTTTGTTTTCATTGCTTTCGTTTAATCCAGTTTTCAGAGGTTTTGCTGAAGAGCAAAAAAATACCCCCAAACCAAGTTAAACAAAAACAGCTGAAAAGGAAAACAAGCATTCCACTTTCTGATGTTTGATTGGAGCCAAGTTATGCATGCAGAGGAATCCAATTTCTCTGGAGTACAGCTATATGCCACGCTAGGTTAGAGGCTGCCTGTTTCATAGTATCACAGAATTGTAGCGTTGGAAGGGACCCCGTGGATTATCTAGTGCATGCAGTGCACAGACCTGAGCGTCTCCCCAAAAAGGTTGAGAATGGAACTGGGGGCAATGCCCCTGCAATGCCCAATGTGGGGCTTGAACCCACCACCCTGAGATTGTAAGAGTCTCATGCTCTACCAACAGAGCTATGATTGCTCCCCTGTTTAAGAACAACAACTTGCCCATAGAAAAGTAGCTTGACAGCCTCTAACTTAGCCTTCTTTCTGACATGTTACTGTTAAAAAACAAAATAAACTTGTGGAGAGTTTTGGAACATTCTTCAGGCTGATTAACCACCTGTGGCTGAAGCAACGCAATATCTAGGCAGCTGATCCACAGGGCCTTCTTCTGTAGATAAATAATCCTTAGGAAAGAGGTTTATTTGGGACCTTGAGAAGATTTCAGAGTGGCCTTTACACATTTGACATGAATAACTGAACCATCTTTGGTGACATGTATGCCTGTTTTAACAGCAATATTATTTGCTTTGGATGCCCCAAGAGCTTATGGGCATATGTGCATATAGAAAATACCTTTTTCTTATTGCATTCGTGCTATAAATGTTTAGAGAAAGAGAACTTGTCAGAGCTGCAGGCAAAATGCCCATAATTGTTCAGATGTTAGTGTCTGAAGTAGAATGGTAGTTTTGACATCTGATTCAGGTGGAGTTGACATTTATTAGCAGAACATTTGCTGGGTGGAGAGTTTGGCCTTGAATTTAACACCTTAGAGCACTTTCTCCATCACACTTCTGTGCTGTTTGAGTCCCGTGTTTCCAGGTGAGTCCCAGTTCAACCCAACACGGGGCCAGTTGAGTGATTCATTAAAATGCTATAGCCATAGAGGAAGGTGGCAATCTTGGGAAAACCAAAAAGGTTGGCGGGCAACTGTTGAAGACTAAAATGGCACATCAGCGCCAGACAACCTTATGTTGGAGCCAATCCAGGCACACATGATGCTTGAAGAGTTAATTTAAAGATATCGCAAAAGATTTTAGATTTCGAAAGTGACTGGTGGCTAACACAACCTAAGAAACTCAGTTAGAAAGTGGTCCGTTTTTTATTTTGTGAATAAAAATCTCCTTGTGCCTCTTAGAATGGAAGAGTTCAAAAGCAAGCAAGGAACTTTAAGGTGGAAATTATTTCACCCCTGACAGTCAGTGTCTAGTAGCCTAGTCATTAAAAGAAGAAGAAGCAGGCATGGACCTCCTTTCTGCATTAGTTCAAAACATATTGCAGGAACTAGGAAACAAAGGATAAGCCCAGGCTCAATAGCTCGTTTCCCCCCCAACTGCACTGAGGACCTATTTGGATGGTTGCCAAGCTGATTTCTTCCCACACAGATTTATGTTTTGATTGGCTAATGAGCCAGAAGGAGGATAAAGGCAGCCTTGTGATTCTTGGATCAACTGATTCCCCCCGCTCCCCAGGTAGTGATTTTTCTAGCGGTAGACACAGGGGACTTTCCCCACCCAGGCTCATTAGGGCTCCTGAAAGTGAGCCAAGCTGGACCATCAAGGTCAACTGCAGTAACTTTGCAGCAGTCAGCTCTCTGGAAGTGTGATTAATGCGCTCAAGCCTCTTGGCAGACAGGAGGCGACGAGGTGGAGATCATCTCTGGATGGGAGCAATTGGCCTTCCTTAGTACTGATGTTGCTGAAGTTCTTCCATGGCGCTTGGCTACATAGCCATAAATCAACTTGCTGAACCCTTCCACTCTAGCCAAATGGCTCTAATTTAAAGGGCTGGGTTGCTTGGATTTCTTTTTTCAGTGCATCTGATATCCCACAGTACATGAGGCCAGGGTGGTTCATGATTGTCCCTTACTGATTCAACGGGGCTAACAATGATTACTGCCAGACAGGCTCAGGCTGTGGCATCTCTTGTCATGTGTGTGGCTGGCAATCTTGAAACCCAGGATTGGCGTCATGAGAAAGGACCTCTGTCCTTCTGGAGGGGCTTTTCCATCTTTTTCATCTTGGAGGAGGAATGAGAAGAGTACACTTAATTGGCTTCAATATTTTCCTTTGCCAGCATTTGACGATGAAATAGTTTCCACAGCCGACGTTTCGCGCTACGTTGAAGATCCTGGCTTTGGGTACAAAGACTTTGCCAGGCGGGGTGAGGAGCATCTTCCAACTTTTCGAGCCCAGGTGCGTTTAACATGGTGTAGCTTACGTTTGTAACCCTCTGAAAAACCAGTTGGTTGATTGCATGAGGTGAGAATGCAAAGTTTCCAGATAGCACGCTCACTGCAGGAGAAATCGCAGTGGCTCGGATCTAGAGATAAGTGAATTTAAGGAAGTTTGTGGGACTTTTTCCCACCTGCAGCCATGCATGTCCCCCCAAAAGCCTCAGGGGCATGAGGACATTCGCTGAACAATGTGGAATGGGACATGGGGGGGCTGCTGAGGGAGTGGAGAATTCATCCCAAATCAGGCAGATAATCCACCCAGTTTGGGGCCACCCATGATCTCATTGAGTTCAGTTAAATAAATATCACCTTGGAAGCTTCAAAAGTCCCTGGCTGTCTTTCGATGCCTTGTTGACAGTGTAATCTGACTTGGAAAAACATAAGAGCCTTTCCCCAAATTTCCCTGATTTGATTTGTAATTCAAGGTACAAACAAAGCCAGTGCACACGCCTATTATCTACGTGGGTTTAATGTTCCCTCTTAATATACCTGTCGCAGTTACTACAGCTGAAAAGTCATTTTCCAAAATTAAGCTGCTCAAAACTTCCATGTAATGGTCAGTGCAACTTAAAGTTGATTCGAGACAGGCTTTCATGACTCGCTGTTCTTTCAGTAGAGAATAAGCAAGTATATCAGTTGGGTATTCCCAAAATTACGACAAGTTTGCTCATCTCAGAGCAAGAAAGAGGTTTTACATTTGAATTGAAAAGATATTGATTTTTTTAAAATAATAACAACAACAATAAATTGATTTTCATATTCTAATATAACTTCATTGTGTCAATTATTATTACATATAAATTTGCACTTACAGTTTATATACATTCTGATGATACACGGTTCCTACTTAATTTGATTTCTTCTCTTGATAATGCTTCACCTTAAATCAGAAGTATGCATTTGGATACAGGTGCATAATCAGACTAAATTGGGACCCCGTTGCCTGATGCATTTCACACAAGGGCACACAACAAATTGTGACCTCCACTGTTTTGCTTCAGCAGTAGAACGGCATTGTGTGTCTTCAAAAGCATTCTGCAGTACTGCTCAAACATGCCATGTACAAATTGGTAGTCTTCGTGCTTTTTTGCAGGACTATACCTGGGAAAACCATGGATTCTCCCTTGTGAACAGGCTTTATTCCGACATTGGGCATCTCCTGGATGAGAAGTTCCGAATGGTCTATAGCCTCACGTACAACACTATGGCCACGCATGAAGATGTTGACACAACCATGTTAAGAAGAGCTTTATTTAATTATGTTCACTGTATGTTTGGAATCAGGTATGTCACCACCTGATCTGGCTAAATAAGTGCACTTCTGGAGGTATTCTGTAGTTGGAGTGCTTCAGGTTCATAATGCAGCTATGGGTTATATTAAAGAGGCTTGCATGTCCTTGGTTTCAGGAATGAAGTTGGGGGCTAGGATTGGACCCGTGGTTGCATTTTGCTTAGCGCAGGCCTAAGCATTCACAATAGGGACGTGGGTGGCGCTGTGGGTAAAACCTCAGTGCCTAGGATTTGCCGATCGTATGGTCGGTGGTTCAAATCCCCGCGGCGGGGTGAGCTCCCGTCGTTCGGTCCCAGCTCCTGCCCACCTAGCAGTTCGAAAGCACCCCTAAGTGCAAATAGATAAATAGGTACCGCTTTATAGCGGGAAGGTAAACAGCGTTTCCGTGTGCTGCACTGGTGCTGGCTCGCCAGAGCAGCTTCGTCACGCTGGCCACATGACCCAGAAGTGTCCTTGGACAGCGCTGGCTCCCGGCCTCTTAAGTGAGATGAGCGCACAACCCTAGAGTCGGACACGACTGGCCCGTATGGGCAGGGGTACCTTTACCTTTTAAGCATTCACAATAGCATGTTTCAAGTGGAAGGGAGAAAGAGTGGATACAAGGGTAAAATCATTTGTCTTCCCTCCACCCTGTAAGGTGTTTGCAGTATTTATCAGCATAAATATGGGGACAACATGGGTGATGTTGGGGTGGACGAAGTATTCTTAAACCAAGCAGAACAGTAAATTTAGACACACTCGTGCAGCATGTGTTCTGGAATCAAAGACCCTCAAGTGATTTCTCTTGGGTGCATATAAAAATCTGTTAGCCAGTTATTTGGAAATTAATTGAACAGTAATCTTCTGGGTTCCCTTTAGCTGTTCAAAACGACTTCCAGGAAGCCAAAGGGCTGTGCAATCCATTTCCACCATAGAAATGTGTGTGTGTTCAGGATGGGAGTCATGGTTGTCATCATCTGAAGCCCGTCAAATGTACAGTGTGAATTGGGCTCCAAGAATCTACAAGGGTGTAAATTATATTCAAATTAATTTAGCACATTATTCTTTGTGGCTTCTGTGCAGTTCCAAATGTGGGTTCTGCCGGCTACTGGAAGAGCTGTACAGGTCAGCCACCTGTCTTGCCCCCCTTCCTTTTGCAAATCTAGTTGAACAATACCAGCCTGGCTTTAGGAGACGTATCATCTGATCTTCAGGCAGATTTACCCCAGCATATGCTTTTTAAAAACAATTGTGCAGTAGAAAGGTGTTCTTTTTAAAGATGTGCATGCTCAGAAAAGAGAGATTCAGGCCGGCTTAATCTTGCTTAGGTATGATGACTACGATTATGGAGAAGTTAATCAGTTACTTGAACGGAGCCTGAAGGTTTACATTAAGACAGTGACCTGCTACCCAGAGCGAACTACCAAGCGCATGTACGATAGCTACTGGCGCCAGTTCAAGCACTCGGAGAAGGTGAGTGTCTCATTGATGGATGCATGAGCAAGTGTCTATGTGTAAACAGGGGAAATGGCATTGTTAAGAAGGGAAGCTTCCATATCCGTAAATCCAAAGTTCATATTGCATTAATGTGAAGTTCTGCACAGCACAGCCACCAAGAGCGAAACTTTGGGGTTGCCACATCACACTACTATGAAACACCCTGGAAAAATGAACACACTGGATTCTGTTGAATGCTTGCTCACACACACACACACACACACACCCCGCATAACAAGGTAGTACAAAAGATCCTCTCTGCAATGGCTTGTTCACATGTGCAAGTCACTGCTGGATGCTGCAGTCTGACAAGTGGCAAACCCATTTATCACAATCTCAACTCGGGAACGATAAAGCTGAAAGAAATATAAATGCCCTTCGGCCGACCTCATGGTGAGCTACGGCATTTATGTATTTTTAAAAGATGCCATCATCATTTTCTGTTTGAATCTTCCCTGCAGGTCCACGTGAACCTTCTCCTGATGGAAGCGCGCATGCAGGCGGAACTCCTTTACGCCCTCCGTGCCATTACGCGCCACTTGACCTGAAGCGCCGTTGCAAGCGTGTGAAGAAAGCTTCCAAACAGATGTGCAGAAACACCTGCCTGTGGCGTAGCATCAGGTTATTGGATTCTCTAGTGTCAAAAGCTGAAGCCGCCTTCCTAGCGGTGGTTAACGTGCAATGATCTATATATTTCCCCCCCTGTTTTCTTGATGCTTAACATTACTAACGATAGCAAAAATAGCACTGAGGAACACTACTTCTTAAGTTGTTTCCAGTTGGAGTATTGGTCACAAACCCTAAAACGGTTTGTTATATTTGATTCTTTTGCTATTTCTTCTCACGCTCGGAAGAAAAACACTTGTTGGTGCATCTTCCGAGGTTCTGTTTCTACCCACTTTTTCCTGCAAATGGAATCCAGAGCGAAGGATTTTGTTTTATTTTCTCCTTTTAGTTCTTTCTAGAATATTAATGCAGCTTTCCTGAATCCAGTATGTGCTGTGTTTAAACTGAAGTGCTCAACTGGCTTCTTCTTAGAGTTTCCTTAGAATTTTAGTACTTTGGCAGTAGTTTGGAGGCTGTGTGAAAGCTGATGCAACTATTGTCTGCCTTTTTTTTTTAATGTGAAAAGAACTGCTGCCAATCCTGCAGCGTGCTACTGAGACACAGCATTCAAATGCTTTTTTTTTTCTGAACGAAGAGGGTTTTCTACCATATCCATTTCAACTGTACATAATCAGTTCAGGGATTGAATTCTTCTGTGTTGCCTACAATTGCTCTTTCTGCTGACCCTAATGATGCTTGAATGGTACTTACTGCCCAGCCAGCAAGCCAGTTTAACTTGGGATATCTGAACTTTGACTTTAAGAGGGTTTTTTTAAAAAAAGTTTTGAAATCCAGGTTCGTCCTTAACTGGTTCATTGATCTGGTGGTAATGTGAGGCGTGCAAATCCAGCACACGCACGCGCACATGCTGTCTGATCAAAGAAACAAAAGAGCAATCTGCAAGAGCACATTCTCTTAAAACTGTAAAAAGCTGCCTTGTGCTGAATCAGGCCACTGGTCTGTCTGTTCTGGTCCTCCAAAGTTGAGGGGAGAAGTCTCTCCCAGCCCTCTTACCTGAGATGGTTTTAACTGGAGATGGCAGGAATTGAGTCCAGGACCTTTCGCATGCAGAGCATGTATTAGTCGCTTAGCTAGATTTCCCCCTCCCCTGAAAGCTTTGCTTGTACGACACTGTCTTTTACTGAGTCAGACTTGTCTGTTCTGACCAGCAGTGATTCCTTGAGGTCTTGGGTCACAATTGGCCCTAACCTTTAACTCAAAGTGTCGGAGACCGCACCTGGGACCCTTCTACAAACAAAGAATGTGCTTTGCCCCTGAGTTGCAGTCTCGTTTTGCTCCACCGTCATCCCCCCCACCCCACTTCCTAATTCAAGGGTAATTATATCAGTGTTCAGCTTAAGCTTTGGGGAAATCGATTCCCATCAAATATTTTTCAGAACGCCTGCAATATTTTCAAGCTAAGAATCATGTTTCTATACGTTGACGTGAGTGAACAAAGGAAGTGCAATATATAGCAGAAGAGCGAGCCTTTCCTTAACCAAGTCGCTGCTGAAATGTCCCGCTCAACACGACCGCGGTGAAAATGGCTTCTCCTTTGGTAGTGTTTGCTGCGAACAATCGGCTCCTACTCGAGCACCAAAGCGTTGGTTTAATCGGATGTCCCCAAGCCCTTCTACACCTTCCTTTTAGCAGGGGAGACCCCATGCAAGCTCCATAGAAATGAATGGAGGAGGTGCCAGAGGAGTGCCGGGCCGATTGGCTTGTGCCCATGGGCAGATGTCATTGTTGGGAAAGAGAAGAGAGCAGCTAAGAGAGACCTGCCCTTGCATTGCTTGACTACACTGATTACTTTTTTCCCTCCAGGGCACAAATGTCTTGGTTTTTAGAGCTTTACCTTCTTGCATTAATGATCCAGTGAAGTGCCTAAAGAGAGGCCAGAAAGACAAGACATGATAGAGACTTTCACGTGACTGGCTTGCTTCAGGAAAAGCTAGTCTCAACTGAGTCCCCTTGAAATCAACACTGCTTAGGCCCAGCAGGGCTTGGAGACCACCCCTTTGTGTCCCACTGCCAGTATCTGGGATCCAGGAAAGGAACCTTAACTTGCCCTCAAGCCTTTTGGGTAGTCGATAAAGCGATTTAAGCCCCAGTCTTTTCCTCTCTTTTTTTGATTTTTACAAGACTCAGTTGTGACTAACTTTTGCTGAATTGAGATTGATGTCAGATTTTGTGTCCCCCTGAATATTTATTTTTACCTGCTTTTATACACATTGGAAATGAATGAGATGGGCCTTCACTCCAGTAGGCTGTAGAAAGCAATATAGAATAAGCTTGTACATTGAAGACTTCTGCAGTGGTTTCTTTCATGAGAGCAATTTTGGAAAGTAAAAAAAGAGGGGGTAGAGGAACTAAAGTTTGGATGTGGTTATTTTGTTGGGTTTATTTTAATTTTTTATTATTTACTTGATTCTTCTCTCTCTTAACGGCTGTGATGTTGTGTGATTGTCCTGCGACGCACACACCCCTTGGCTGCTGAAAAAATTGTTTGTTGCTTTCTAGAGACATAACCTTCTGCGCTTGGAATTGCAGGCTGTTTTGACATGGAAACTCTCCCAGACGATATTGACACTACAGATTCGTATTGGCTGCATGTGTTGCTCCTCCTAAAGAAGTCTGGGAATTGCAGTTTGGAAATAGTGCTGAGGGCTTTCTCTTAAAAGACACCACACACACACACACACACACACACACACACACTTCCCAAACCAGTTCAGCTTCCCAGGAAACCGTTGGAACCTGTTGGAGTCAGTAGTGTGTCTATATGTCCTTGGAAGGAAATGACTACAGTGATGACAAGTTACTGAATGAGCGACGCATTGCTGCTGAGGATGAATGGTAGCTCACTGCTCTGTCTGTGCATGTGAGAAACCGGGAGGGGGGTGTGGGTGTGTGTGTTTTAAAAAGCCGAATCAAAATCCAGCTAAAGTTAAGCGTTTTGAAGGATGGCGTTGGATTTAACAAGAGCATTCAGCCATTTGCACCTGCGGTCTGCAATGGGGATGGGTTGTGCAAACGCTGCCTGCAGCTTACCTTTATGGGTTGTGTTTGGCATGGCACCATTGCAGGAAGCTTGAATTGCGCTGCCCTGACCCCTGTCCTGTCCAAAGCCGGGTTGATTTCAGTGGAAGAGTTTGAGGGCTCCATTGGAGACTCCCTGGGACTTTTAAGACGCTTAACCCTGACTGGATTTGAACTGCAGCAAGGTGTTGACAGGTCTCCACCAAACACCTCCCTGGTGATTGTGGGAGGGGGAAGGAGCAACTTCTGCCAGGGGAACTTCTGCCCCTTTCTTTCTTTCTTTTAGCCTTTGCTGTTGTTCCAGGCACTTGTTTGCATGTTGCAGAGAAAAGCCAGGCAGGGCGTGGATGCAGGGAAATCGGCTGGGGAAGGACTGAGGCCTCTGGCCCCACGGCTCTTCAGATATAACCTCTGTCTTCACATTTAGAGGTAGAGACATAAACAGACTTTGTATGTAACTGTAAGAGCTTAAACGTTTTCTTCAGAGCAGTCATGGCTTTTCTTCTTAACAGGGAGGCTGGTGTTCCAATTGCAGAAGCATTAGTGCCTTTTCTTCTAGATGTTTTTATTGTTCGAACTGAATAGTCATCTCAGTGAGAGGCAATTAGATTTTAAATCAATAAGACTGTTGGTTTCTCTCTCTCTCTCTCACTCTCTCTTTCTCCCTTCTGTGAAATATATATAAAGTGAATCCATTAACAGGAGCGTAAACTTGATTTCACATGATTTCAGACCTACATGTGGTATCCAAGGTTGGGACCTGCTGTTTTGAAAACCAGTTTGTGTTTTTTCCTTAGAAATAGAATGGCAAACTTGAATGTTAACAAAATGTTTCAAGGTGATGATGTTTGATTCAGAGTAGACATTTTATGTGGTCATGATCTGGTGCATAGCTTTATATACTCAAATGTGATGGGGTTGTGTGTGTGTGTGTGTGTGTGTGTACGTGTGTGTGTGTGTTTTTAAATGCTGACGTTCAGAGTAGGCATCCAAGTGAATATGATTGTACTTCTTTGCTTGACATATACCCCTTAAGCTCACAGATGTGCCAAATTAAAAAATGTGCAAAATCTATTTTTTTATAAAATAGCACATGTGAATGAATCGTCAAACTTCATGGATGTCAAAAACGTATGTCATTCTTTCGCAGTGTAGGCATAGTTGGGGGTTTGTTTTTCGTTTTCGTTTTGCTTCTTCTAGTATGGCTTTGGATTACGTGTCAGCAACTGGCACCCTTGGGCCAAAATCTGTCCTAGTTGTCAACCAAGGGGCAAAAGAGTGTCATAGGCTGCAGCCATTGGTAGCAGCAGGACTTGGCGGCAAGGGAGTCCCCCAGCAGGCTCTGTGGCTTATATGGAAGGATATAAATCCCCGAAAGCGAGGGCGGTGGAAGGTGGGACTCAGGCTGCCACTTAGCGCATAAAAAGGCCCCTCAGATGCTTGTTCATTCCCTCTGCTATTTTTGTTGTGGTGGTTGCAAAAATAAAATATGGCTGCTTCAAGATCTTGTGTCAAGACGTCTCCCCAACCCTCCTTTTTTAGGTGGTGGGGGGAACTGCATCAAATTTATTTAGGGTGGGAGACAGAAGGGCTCACAGGTGGAATTGCACATACTCAGTAGAGACAGAGAGAAGTTTCAAACATGAGCCTGCAAGTGCAGGTGCAGGAAATAGGTGTATGTGTGGGGAAATTCCAAATTCTAGACCCAGTAAAGAAACAAACAAAAAATAAATAAATCAAGGCATATTGGTCAGGGGCAGGGGATCAGGTCATTACTGCCGAATTCCAGGTTATGTTTACTCTGAAGCAAGTCCCACTGTGTTCAGATGCCCTAATCAATTCACAGAACTGACTTGCTTAAATAGTTTGGCGTTTGGTGTGCTTCTGATCTGCAGCAGCTGCCAGGCTCAAAAGCAAATGGACTGTTATGTGATTTGATGTTAACCAAACAGGTTTCTAGGTTCCCTGCGTATTCAGCCTCCCCTCTGCAAGCACAGGCACACATAGCATGGTTACTACTTGAAATTTTGCCCAAGTCTGATTTGAGGGTCCGATAGGTCATTAGAACTTCCCCCATCCCATCTTTGTTTGCCCCACACTGGGGTGCAGCTGTTCATCGGTGTCTTAATGTTGTTGGAAGGCGGTTGAATGATACCATTCTTGGCTACTAGTGCCAATCCACTCTTCTCAAGTGAGTCTGCTTCATTCGGTCATCGCTAAGTAGCTGGTGCCACTGTGTGAATAGGATGCTGGACTAGATGGGCATTGGACTGGTGCAGCAGGGCTCTTGGTACACTGCCCAGCTAGTGTGTGAAATCCCTTAAACCATGATGGGGTACACACCTAACACTCCCCGCATTGAGGAAGGCGTGTACAAACCTCCTGGCCAGATTTTTCAAATGAGTATGGTACCTTGCATCGTCGTCTTCTTTGGCGATCATTCACAGCCGATTAAGATTGCCTCGGGTAACATACTATTGGAAATTTGCTTGCTTAAACTGGCCTTCCAGAACTGGCCCATCTTAGTTCAGAGGGTGAAATTCCAACTGGCTTTGAACCTTCTTGCCCCCGCCCACCTCAAAAGAACCATTCGGGTTTTTTATATCCCTTGCCGACATTTTAAAAGAGTGCTTCTTTTTTTAGTAAGTGAAGGGTTCCTTGCACAAATAAAACAGAAAATTGGGCCTGCATTATAAAAGGAGCACAGAGTCCCATCATACGAAGAGAGATTTCAACACAAACATTTGCTGAACGGCATGGGCCATTTTTAATGGAGATTTCTGTCAGAATGCTGTTGCTTGAGTTGGGAAGTTGGATCTGCGGTATTTTGGGCTCTGCTTTCTACAGCGCCAAATAAATTTTAAAAGTTTTGCATTTCCCCCACAAACCTCTTCTAGATTTGTATGCTCTCAGGTCTATCCTTCGAAAGGTGGAACATGGTCAAAAGGTGCACATCTTATGAGACGGGAATAATAGAAATCAGAATTGGCATGTGAGGTTCCTGCACAACTGTAAGGATTTCCCACCTCTGTGGAGTGTACATTTCCTCTGTAATTGGAGTGGCAGGACTAAATGAAGAGGGTGCCAAACATCTGCCACAGATGTTTGTTACAAAGCAAGGAAAGCCACAAGTGGATGTGGGGGGTTTGTATGCTTTAGGCATACAAGCGCCACAACCCTTAAGGCGCTTCCAGGCAGCCTGTTTGTTGAGCACTCAGCCAGATTTGTCTGCAGAGAGATCAGACGACGTGTGCTGTTTTTGAGCCTTCATTCTGATTTGTCTGCAGGGAGGTTAGATGACGATTGTGTCACAGCAAGAGTTATCCCATGCTTAGCAGTGCATTTCTCTGCCCCTTCAGTTATTGCAAAAAAAAAAAATCTGATCCTTTTGGGAAGCAGGTTTGTTGGACAAGCGCTCTCGATAAACTTCATGAATTTGCCAGCCTGTGATTGAATCCCACCTGAAAATAACAGCTGTCTTGAAATGCTTCCCTGAAATAAACATCTTCCGGACTGAAGCCTTCATCTTCTTAAATAACGACCCTCTGTATAAATTTGGTCACAAATGGGGATCTTCAACCTGTGGGTCCCCAGATGTTGTTGGACCACAACTCCCATCATCCCTAGCTAGCAAGACCAGAGCTCAGGGATGATGGGAGTTGTAGTCCAACAACATCTGGGGATCCAGAGGTTGAGAACCGCTGTTCCAGAGGAAGGCATATGTACTTATCTAAAATCCTTTTTAGTTCTTGTATTCTGCTGTTATTCTGCTTTTTATTCTGCTCCCAGCAGCCTCCCATCCAAAGGAATGACCAGCTCCACATCTGCTTAGCTGCAGCAGTTCAGCAGCCTCCCATGGCCCAGGCAACATCCAGGAACCCTTGCCTTTTAAATTATTGTGGAGCTTGGGAAATAAATGAATAAAACTTGCAGAGGCAGTAGAAACCTCAGCTATATCAGTATTCTGCTCCATGCTATTTTGTCTGCCCTCCTTTCCCCTTAATTCTCGCTTCTGAGCTCACAGTAGAAAGGAGCTCCCTGTTTAAAGAGGTACTCAATTTAACTGAGCGTACAGTAGGCTGAGATACCAAAGCTATGGGCTGAGCAGCCAACCATACAAGGGTAGGATCCAGCCCCCAAAGCACCTTTTTCTGCCCCCTCTCTCTTGGTAGCCCTATCAAATACATTCTGATCAACTTGGGGGTCAGATGTTCCTCCGTAGTTTCGCTTAGACGGCAGCGAAGCAATTGAATGTCCGCCTAGCATTCTGCATAGATACTCTTGGACTTGTTGCTTGCACATTCCATCTGCAGCCTGAATGACCATCTCGGCACACACGAGCCATTTTTAAATACTTTGTTCAGCTTGGTCATCCACAGGGTGGCAGCGGTACTGAGTGTGCTGGCTCCCAGTGAATGCCTGCAGACTATGGTGACCCATAAGCTGGCCACCCCCTGGTTTACATAATCCTTTAGTCCATGCATGGGGTTCTCTAGGGTAAAAACCAAAATGGTACCTGAACAAATGCAGGGTAGCCAAGCAAACTGACCTTTTTTTCCTTTTCTTAGTTTGAAGTCCTATATGTAGCATGCTGTGAACGTCTTACCTGGTCTCTGCAAAATAATCAGTATTGATGTTGCTTTAATTCTTTCGGCTTCTTTTTTTTATACCTCCACCCTCCTTTTAGTGTCTTTCTAGAAGCTGTGATAGGCCTTTGTGGTCCTTGACTTTGTTACTGTAACTTCTTTTTTTTAATAAAAAAAAGTTTGTGAAATGTAGGGCTAACCCGAGTTGGATGGTCCAGTCCTCCAAGGTTGCCCATTTTCAGTTTGTTCGTTCTACATTATGGCTGTACGTAGAATAAGCTTATCGATGATGCAATTTAGGATTCGCACAGCTTTTTGCTTTTTTTTTAACGTCCACGTGTATGCATTTTGTACGTGTGTATTGCGGGAGTGGGGAGAGAAAGGTGATGTGTTTTATATAGGCTTAAGCTTTTTTGGTTTATTTCTTTTCCCTTTTGTAAAGTAACTGACTTGGTAAAATCCATAGCCACTTAGGACTGTCCATGCTGAACAGACCTTGCTGTAGAGGCAAGATCACGTTCTTTGTAAGTTTCGAATAGTGACACTCCCCACCCCACCCCATACCTGGGGAAACGAGCTCATTTTGCACCACGCGAGGGGAAAGGTTGTTTTGAAACTTAACTGAGTACAGTGGTAGCTCTTGAGTGGATGTGTTAAGGGGGAATGCTAAAGTCTTTGTGAATGGAGGCGATGGCCTCCCATGATCACCCAGGAAGAACCACCATAAGGGTCTAGACAGGCCAACAAGGCAGTCCTAACTAAGGCTGAACTCCATAAGAAGGCGCCAGGCCCATTTCCCTTGCCATAAGGGATGCAGTTAGCCAAAGACTATCCTGGGAGGGAAAAGGAGTTTGTGAGAGCTTTCCTTGTGCAGAGAAGCTGACTAAAACAAATACACTCTTTCCTTAAGAGTGTGTGCAACTCATTCAGCTGATGGTTGCCTTGCCAAGCGGCTATTGGTTGCCTACCAATGGCTGTGCCATCTTGGCAACAAGGAGTTTAATGGCACTGAAGGGTGGTGGGTTGAGAAGAGGCTAACAGCGTATCTTTACTACAGCATATATGTCTAGGAGAACTCTTGTTATCTCAGGACAAGTGCAGGATAAAGCTGCTCTGGAGCAACAAAGCATTTCCTACACCCCAGAAATATTTAACTCCGGGAATAGCTGGCGCGCTCGGGTGAACCCTAGATGCTGCCCACCCTAAAAGCACCACACCCTCGGGGTGCAAACCCATACACAACCTGGGAGTAATCCCCACTGAGCTCACTGGGGGCTTAGCTATGAGTAGACAGGTATAGAGTTGCACTGCACGTGTGTCTCTTGCTGCAGTTGTGTCAATTTAGGACTTCTTGCAAACAGAACCAAGAGTTCAGCTAGCATTTTCCTGACATCCGTGGTTATTGGACAAGCCTATCCAACTGGATCTGTTTGTGTGACTCTTTTTCTTTCTGTTAAGCTTTTAGTTAACGCAACTTGAATTGTATCTGAACAGATGCGGAAGGAACTTTTTAGCGAGCTGAGACAAAAAGAAAAAAAACACACCATATTTTTCAATAAAGGAATTTGTGTGTGCATATTATTAACCTGTTAACAGCAATTCATAAAATCTGCACTTTTTATGAGGTTTTGAAAAATTCTATTTATAGGTACGGAACAATGGGGTTTGTTTAAAAACTGTATAGCGTTTATACTTGCTGAAATTTCTTTCACTGTTATCGGTAGGAATTTTATTGGTTCAATAAAAACTGGCGAGAAACCCCACCCCTGTAATGTGGCGTGTCTTTCTTTGTTCTGTGCAGTGGCTCTCTTGGAAGGTCCTTTTGAAATTAATTTTTTATATGGATTTGAGAACCGTCGCGCTGGATCAGAAAAAGGTCCATATGAGAACACAAGAAAAGCCTCACAGGATCAGCCCAAAGGCCCATCTAACACACCATCCTATTCTCAAAGTGGTCAACCGGATAGGAAGCCCGCAAGCAGACCATGAGTGCAAAGAATTCCCCCCAGTAATGGTTAATCAGGGCCATTCAGCCCCCCAAAGTGAAAGTAAACATAGCCATCATGACTTGTAGCTACTGCTAGCCTTATTCCCCATGAATTTGTCCAGTCCTCTTTTAAAGCCATCCAAATTGGTGGCCATCATCACTACCTCTGGTCCAGAGCAAATTCCATAGGTTTTATTATGCACGGTGCGAATAATACTTTCTTTTGTCCTGAATTTTCCAGCATTCAGCTTCATTAGATGTTCACAGGTTCTAGCCTTAGGAGGAAAACTGGAGTGTGTCTAATTTTACACATAAAAATTCAGTATTAAAACCCAGCTTTCCCTTCTCCAAGCAGGAAGCCAGTTGTGTGATATGAGAGGCTCACAGGTAAGGTGTGGTGCAAGAGAGCCATCTACCCTTTTTTGCCCCCCCCCCCAGCATTTGTGAATTAAAGGTAAACCGCCTCTAATCATGGAGGTTTTGTGCGGCTTGTCGTGACTAATAGCCATTAATAAGGCACATCTTCCATGGGTCTATCTTTTAAAAGATTCTGGCCACCATCACGTATTGTGGTAATGAGTTTGTGTAAATCCCATGCACCTGGTGTGTAGAAGTACTTCTTTTGCCCTGAAACCTATCTCCACACAGCTTAATTAGAATGTAATTAGCTTTCCAGAACTATCTTCCTAATGTTTCAACTTCTTGCTGTTACACACTTAAAAAACCCCAAAATACACAGCTAACTTGATGTGTTTTGCCATGCCTACACCTTTCAAAAACAGGGATTCCCCTTTTTAATCCATGGGGTGTGATTAAAAATCCTTAACTTCAGCTGGATCGTGCCCATTATTCCCAGGAACCACAGTGGCTCCAAACCAAGGACTCAAACCAGCCAGTTAAAAGGAGATAGTTGCCTGTTTAACCTGATCTGAACACAGGGGGGCACTAAATGCTGCAAATACACTTCTTCCTGGTGTTGCTTGTACCAGATAATTATTTGTCTGTAATTTAGCAGCTTAAACATGGAGGCATGACCTGATGCAGAATCTGACCGTTCATAAGAGCACTCACAGCATTTTCTCTTCCTCCCCCTGGTCCCCAATTGGGTCCACTTATTTTGCAAAGTAGAAGAAGTTTCCCTAGTGGCTATCTAACTCTCTTTGTGGACAAATTAGGGAAAGATGGATCCTAATGGTGGTTGTCAGCCACGCCACCTTTCAAGACTGAGATGGGGAAACTCTGGCTTTCCACTTGAACTCCTGCTCCCAGGTGCCCCAGCCAGTGTGGCCAATGGGCATGGGTGATGGAAGTTGCTTTTGGGTTATGCGCGGCAGAGGGTTCTTAAGCACAGAACTGCTACCTTTCTTCTGCTGACACCATAGTATGTGGCAAGGGATAAATTAAATAATAAAGATTGCTGTGAGAAGCCTCACTCTATAGAGGTAGTGAAAATACTATTTATTCACTTAGGTGGTGTTTCTATACCACTCTCCCATGTGAAACGTCTTGAGAGTGGCAAACAAAATCAGAAATAAAGGTTAGCAATAAATACATGAAACCAAAAATCCAATGTAAAACAGCAGCAGAGATCAAAGCAGAGAACCAGATTAAAACTCTGTGACTTCAAAAGGCTGGGCAAATAGAAAGATCCTCTCCAGGAACACGGAAGATATATGGGTTGGTGCCCTGCCAGTCGCCATGGGGAAAGCATTCCTGAGCTGAGCAGCTTCATAGAGGGGAAAGTGGTCCTTAAGTTAAACTTGTCTCAAGCCTTTTAAAGGCTTTTTAAAGATTAAAATCGACCAGGAGCCTCATGGCTAGTTCTTAAAACGAAAACAAAAAAACTTGTAAGGTGCTCCCTACATCTAGCCACAGATAAGAAGTCTAGCTACCTCATTTTTCACTAAAATGGCCTAAACTCTTCTAGGGCAGAGCCATGTCCAATGTGTTACAACAATCCAATTCAGAAGTTAATCTAAGCACAGGTTTGAAACCCAGACCTGCCTTAGAAGCAAAAGCCAGTAAGCCTCAAACACTCTGAAAAGAACAGAGCATAGAATAGATACTGCACTACGGCCACATTCACACCATTTAAATAGTTGTGACTTGCCTCAGAGAATTCTGGGAGGAGGAGTTAAACGTGCTGAAAGTTCTTAGGAGACCTGTAGTTCCCCTCCCGGAGCTACAATTCCCAGTTTTCCATGAAGAGGGATTGATAATTGTAGCTCGGGGAGGAAGGAAGGCTGAACAATTCTTGGCACCCTTAACAAACTGCTCCCAGAATCCTTTGAGGCAGCCCATTACTGTTTCAAGAGGTATTGTAGTGCCTTAAATGGATTGTGTGAATGTATGCATAGCGCTTGCAAGATTCAAGGTGCATCACATACATTATGCCTTTACCTTACACACCTTCCTGTCAACATATTTTCCATATTGTGGATGGAGAGATGAAATTCATCTGGGAACTTCCCAGTCCATTACTCCATTTCTTAAACAGATATTCTACACCAGTATTGACCAGGTTCAACTAACCAATGACACTAGCAGAAGCTCACACAAGGACTTCCACTAGTGCAACAGGGATTCCTCCCTTCCCCCCTGAAATTGGCTTGAGGGGGTTGGAAGAACCCCAGAACAGCACACAAGGGGAGGGGAGATTGCTCCATCAGCACTAGATTGAATTCCTCCCTGTAGGAACTCATTCTTCTACCTTCAAGGGACAGCAGCGGATGACCTGCCAGCTGAAATGCTCTATGTGAGTCATTTTGGACTCACAGCTGTCCATGGAGGCGCAGCGGTCAATTCTGTGTCCAGGGCAGCTATGTACCAGCTCCATCTGGTATGCAGGCTGAGATCCTACCTGTCCGTGGACTGTCTTGCCAGAGTGATGCATGCTCTAGTTATCTCCCGCTTGCGCTCTACGTGGGGCTACCTTTGAAGGTGACTCAGAAACTGCAACTAATCCAGAATGCGGCAGCTAGACTGGTGACTGGGAGTGGCCACCAAGACCATATAACGCCGGTCCTAAAAGACCTACATTGGCTCCCAGTACATTTCCGAGCACAATTCAAAGTGCTGCTGCTGACCTTTAAAGCCCTAAATGGCCTCAGCCCAGTATATCTGAAGGAGCGTCTTCACCCCCATCGTTCAGCCCAGACACTGAGGTCCAACGCCGAGGTCCTTCTGGCGGTTCCTTCACTGCAAGAAGTGAGGTTACAGGGAACCAGGCAGATGGCCTCCTTGGTAGTGGCGCCCACCTTGTGGAACACCCTCCCATCAGATGTCAAGGAAATAAACAACTATCTGACTTTTAGAAGACATCTGAAGGTATCCCTGTTTAGGGAAGTTTTTAATGTTTGATGTTTTATTGTATTTTTAATATTTTGTTGGAAGCCACCTAGAGTGGCCGGGGAAACCCAGCCAGATGGGCAGGGTATTTTTTATTTTATTATTATTATTATTATTATTATTATTATTATTATTAGCCCGAGGAGTGGGGGGGGGGAGGAAGTAGTGCAAAAAAGTGCAAAAATAATTCTTACAACGAATCAGAGAACTGGCCAGCCAAATGCTGTATCCTTTGCTTGACAGGGGCTCAACTGGAGTCTCAGATAGGGGTCTTTTCCAGCCCAGTTCTCTATTTTAACTGAAAATGTCAAAGATTGAATGTGGGACCCTCGACATTCCAAGGATGCTCTCTTATCACTGAGTTAAAGCCTAAACCAAGAAGGGAAATTTGGAAAGCGACTTTCCTCTCCATGGATAATTCTTGACTTGGGAAAATGATTTCTTCAAAATCTCTAAAAACCCTTTCCCCCCAGTAAGGTTCTCTGTTTATGCTGCAAACTTACTACAAAGAGAAGTATTTTGGCAGGTTCAGTCACTGCAGAGGATTCTTTATCCACCATTTTCATATATTCTAGTAGAGAGGATGAAGGTTTCTCTCCTGTTCAGAACTTTTCCTGGTTCTCAAAAGACTTGACATGAGACGGAAAGGTCAACTAGCCACCCAAAGTGCAACATTTTACAATAAGTGAACATTTAATTTTGCCATAAAATGCCCCTTCGAGAGCAGAAGGGGGCATGAAGCTCACCCATGTTACCAGAACATCGGTTCATTACTGTTAATGTCATCACAAATAAATACTTTATAGGAACAGCAGGAGATTAGCAACATATCGGAAAGTATTGCTTTGGATTTCTTTCCCCAGAGTTCTTCATAGCCATTCGCTTTCTCACACCGCTTTTCAGGCATCGTAAATCTTAGGAAGGAACCTTTTGGCTAAATGCGAAACGATGTAATTTAGGCCCGTCACAATGCTTGTCGTGGCATCAATTGCCAGTAAGAATAATCCACCGATACCTGAGGCGATATCTCGGAGGACTGTAGGGATGGCACCCAGGGTGTAGAAAGGGAAGGACACGATGTCTAGTATCACGTTCACAGGGATGCTGAGAATCTTGTATGTAACCATCAGGACGCTGTATATGTTTTTGGCAATGCCGTTCAGGATGTTGACAGCCACACGAGCCACGTCAACAAAGACATTCAGCAGCGCTGTGGCAATTCCTTTGATGAAGGTGAACACCCCTCCGACAATCGTCTGGATGAGGCGCCACAGGAGAGAGAAGGTGTATTTCACAATATGGCCAACCAGGTAGACAACCAATTTCAGCAGTTTGAAGATAGGTGTAACGATGAAATAAAACAACTTCTTCAGAAAGCCACTCTCCTCCTTTGGCTGTGTGCCGGTGTGCTGGCCTGTGGTGGACTTCTTCGCTTGTGGCACCGGTTCCTTAGCTCGGACGTGTTTCACGGCATGGTGGACCTCCTCCAGTTTCTTGGGGTCATGTCTGTCTTGGCCGCAGTGGTTCTTAAACAGTTGAGCTCCTGCGTGGAGCGTCTTCTCAAGGGCTTCCACAGTGAGGTCTTCCAGGCGATTCTCAGCAGTTGCCTGCTTAATAAATCCCAAAGACCAGGTCTTGGAGCCATCATCGCAGCAGGCGGCCAGCCAGAGAGACTCGGGGACAGAGACTTTGTCCTTCACTTTGAGGGTGGAAGGAATTGCTCCAGAAACAAGATAGAGACCCTTCCCATTGTCACAGTGTGGAGCCAAGGCCTCGCCTACCAGGCTCTCAATCTCCCAGTGCCATATCTCATGGAGAGGTGGGGTCAATGGCACCGCATTGGTCAGTGTGTAGGTGGCTATCTCGTGGTCGCCATTATGAAGAGAACTAGGGTTTAGTTGCCCCCTCTCGTAGCCAGAGTCCACGTAGTCTGCTGTGAGGGCCTGCTTAGACCCCAAGTTGTCCACTGAACCTGTGACCTCAACTTCCGGCATCATTCCTTCCAGGCCATTTTTGGGATCATCAATCTGAAATACGAACAAGAGAAATAATTGGATTTTAGAACAAAGGTCACTCATTAAATTTCTTGGGCCCTATGTGCAATTTCCTGGACAATCCAGATTCTAGAAATCTTAAGACTGCCTAATTTCAAAATTTACATTTTGTCTCAAGCCTTTAAACAAGAACGAAAGTTTGTGATTTAAAACTTGCCAGCCATTTCTCTAATTGAGCACAAAACCATACACAGGCCTTCAGCTGGAGTTCAATGTTTGTGGTATTTCTGAAATCTTGAATGTTAAATTTGTAAAAAAAAAAAGTATTAATATTAAAACCTGACATTGAAAAATTAGCAATTCATGTAATGCAACTTTATGGTTCAAAAATGTTTTCATCACCATCCAAAGTTCCATAAATCTCAATACTGGATCATGGGCGTAGCAGGGGGGGGCAGCAGACAGCTGCCCCCCATCAAGTAAATAAATAAAAATACTTAGCTGACAAACGTGTCACAGATAGCTCAGTTCTGCTCCCCTAACATAAATCCTGCCTCCCACAACATAAATCCTGGCTACGTCCATGCCCTGGATTGCATCCAACTAATTGCTACTCAGAGTAGACCCATTGAAATTAATGTATGTTTTCTTCAATGGGTTTACTCTGAGTAGGACTAGCATTAGCTCCAACCCATCATATTTAAAAGACACACTGGTAATTACTGCTGTCTCCAAATTACAGAGATACACTTACTGTTGTACACAACATTTATTAATAAAACCTCTGTATGTTGATACAGTCAACAGTATCCCCAGTAACGCTGCTAACCTTTTAATATGAGACCTATTCCTCACTTTTCCTTCAGGGCTTCCTGGCCCTTTGCATCTCTGTTCCTAGATTCTCCTGCAAAGCCACACCTCTTGCAAGGTTGTTACAATAACAAAGTTATTACAATTCCAGCCAAACTGGCAGTTCTCCCTTCCCTTACAGAAGCTGATCTACAAACATCCTAACAACCTCATTTCATTGAGTAGTTGGAATATCCGTAAGCAGCATTCCATGCCAACTTGGCCAATCAGTGCCTTTGCAACAAGCAATGTAGAATTTTGAACAGGTGGACACTCCTCTTACATTACACAGCTTTTTGCCAGCTTCAGATTATTACATAGGTTGAGGACACATTTCTCCTGAGTCACCTAAAGGAATGTGCCTGTTCCAGAGGTCTATAGTAGCAGAGTGACCACTAGGATGACCTTTTCCAAATGTCACTGTAAACAGCTTGATGTGTGTATGATGCAGAGATTACATCAGAACCAGCTTTTAGAACAACTCAATTATGCATACAAATGAATGGAATGTCAGGGAGTCAATGTGAATCATGGCCAATCGGCCTCCATCCTTAGAGCCATTCCTGGAATGTGCATCATCTAGCCTTGTACTTCATAGCTGACCTGGTACCCAGAGGCAATCAGAGATTCCATACAGGTGAGTGAGTGGTTTGGTAGAGGAAGTATGGGTCCATCTCTTGCCCTCTCTCTCATTTGCTAGTCCACCTGGCTTCCATGCAAGCCTTGAAGGTAGAAGAGCCCTTTCCTCTGTGGCCACCATGGAAGCCAAACCGGCTGACAGAGGAGAGACAAATCATTCCACCCATCCCACCAGTTTGCTTGGTAGAAGTCAATTTTCTTTTTTTAACTACCCTGCAAGTAGCCCAAATTCTCATGAGGACTATGGAGGAGGGGACTTCCTTCTGTTACAACCAGCATGGAGATGCAAACTAGTAGCTTCTTAGTTGGCTGGTAAAAATAAGAGGCAGGCTAGTAACATCTGTGGGCTTATTTGCAAGGCTGTCATGGTCCTTCTGATGCTACTGTGTAATTTCTAAGCAGGCAAGGACTGGGGATCCAGCCATCCTGCAAGCAATAGTCTCCCCACCTTGTCCTTAACTCCAGATCTTCGGCTGGCTGGCTGGGAGTTGTTGAGTCTCTAGGATGAGGATGGGGTGGGGTAACTTCTGACCTTCCAGATGTTACCAACTTCAAATTCCATCACCCCGGCCATGGCCCATGCTGGCTGGGGCTGATGGGTTGGTGGTGGCCACTGGGACATCTTGTAGTGAATTCTGTAGTTTAACTACGTGCTCCTTAAAAGAGGTACCTCCTTTTGCCTGCCCTCCTGAACCACCCAATACTCAACTCCATTGGGTGTCCCCAAGTTCTAGTATTATGAAGGAGAAAACCATCCCTCTATCTGCTTCATCCACTCCTCCAGTCTCTTACTGCTTTACGTATTCCAGGAGAGCGCATGGCTGTTCCTTGTCTCCAGTGCTGATTCCTAGCTCAAAAACCAAGCCCTGTCTGCTGCTAATCAGGTTAGCTCCTCTTATATTTAACAGGCGGAAGCATCCCCCTGCGCTGTGTTGCCTGCAATTACAGAAGCATCTGGACAATGTTCTTCCCTTCTTCTCTTCCTAATGAGGGAGCAGGAGCTGTTTATGCTGTGAAGGATGGCTCCCGATTGCTGCAGTTGCTTAACAACTGGTTAGCTGTGCTGCGGTTGCCTAGCAACCACCCGGTCCTCGCCCACATCCCTCCTCTCTTTCTCCAGCTCCTGTAAAGAGGACGGCACTAAGCTTGATAATGATGGGTACCAGCTTGCTGCAAGGGGAGAATGCTTCTCAGCACCCAGACCACCACCGCCCATGCAAAAGCACGCACAGCCCCGCCAGCCATGGCTACTAGCCCAAACAGGAGTTGGATGAGCCTCTTCTGTTTTACTAATTACTAATTATATCACACTTGGTTTTCCCACCAATGAGCCCTGTGGTTCCCAAGTGGGCACACATCCAGGCCCTGACTAGATCCAGACCTGCTTCACTTCAGCAAAGAGGGGGCTTCATGTGCCTTTCGGACACAGCCTGCGGCTACTTGCCTAAATTGGAGGGAGGGGACCTGGGAAGACCACACTACCGTTATTTTAGGCTCCATGTGCACTAAACATTTAAAGCAGCGTCATACCACTTTAAGTAGTCACTGGTTCCCTCAAAGGATCATGGGAAGTGCAGTTTATTAAGAGTGCCGAGAGTTTTCGGGAAACACCTATTCCCCGCACAGAGCTACGATAGCCAGAGCGGTTTAACAATCAAGCTCTCCTTCCCAGGGAACTCTGGGAATTGTAGCTCTGTGAGGGGAATAGGGGGTCTCTTGGAGGGGGATACATTTGGCCCTGAATATTGCTATTGGAACAGAAGCGTAGGGTAGAAATTACCGTATTTTTCGCCCTATAGGACGCACTTTTCCCCCTCCAAAAATGAAGGGGAAATGTGTGTGCGTCCTATGGGGCGAATGCAGGCTTTCGTTGAAGCCTGGAGAGTGAGAGGGGTCGGTGCGCACCCTCGGGAGACCGGCTCCGAGGGTTGCGCAGAGCTACCTGCAGTCCTGGGCTTAGCGCAGCTCTGCGCGGCCACCGGGAGCCGGGCGCGAAGTCCCGCCCCGCTCCGGATGGCCGCGCAGAAGCTGCCTGCAGTCCCGGGATCAGCACACTTCTCCCCACGCCAGCCCCACAAGCTCGGGGGACAGCGGGGAGGCAGAGCATGCCTTCCCCACTGTTCCCCGACCTGGTTCTTCCAGCCCCACAACCTGGGGAGGAAATAAAAATTTTTTTCTTTATTTCCCCCCCAAAAAACTAGGTGCGTCCTATGGGCCGGAGCGTCCTATGGGGCGCAAAATACGGTATCTTAAGAAAGAAACACGCATTCTTGCTGCCAAAATGGAATCCAATGGAATCTTGCTGCCAAAATGGAATCCTTGGGTACCACCATTTTCTCCCACTGTATTGGGAGGGGAGGGGCTGTGTACCTGTGTCTACTGTTTGCTAGTTTTATACTCATTCACTTTTATCAGCCAAACAACATCCTGCGATCATTCTCAAATTGCAGCCTATGTTTTAGGTTTCGGATAAGTGATCCAAAGTTTTCTTCATGTAACTAAATACTTGGAACAAGGAAAATGGGACAGCAACTGCTATTTACTACTGATACTGTATATTGCTGCCAACTTTATCTCAGCCCCCTGCCCAACTCAGTCAGAAACGCAGGTACGTGTTCTTCCCTCTTTAGAGATGTGAAGCTGAGGAAAAACGGTTATTGATCTGCAGCCAAACACTGAGGTCAGAGGTTTAATCAGAGTCTGTTCTCCAAATCCAGTGCTTTGTCCACTGGGATACTTGGGAAGCGACGTCACCAAAATCAGCCTTCCCAACTTGTTGCTCTCCTGGTTTTTCAGACTACAATTCCCATCAGCCCCTGCCAACACACTGGGGCTGATGGGAGTTGCAGTCCCAGACACCTAGAGGGCAACTGGTTAGGGAAGACTGACCAAAATCATAGTTTGGAGCCACTGTGCTTCACCAGAAATGGTTAGAGGGGGTGAAATGGGTTAAGCATCTGGAGAAACAGAATCTCCTGGTCAGTCAGAGAGGAATGGGAAGTTAGGTGCTGAAGAGTAAGAAGAAATTCAATGTCCCTTTTTAGAATATGTAGAGGAATATTTAGAATTCCAAAGGGAAGAGGCAATGTACTCAGAGGCTGGGACGAGGGAGGAGTTGACAAAACACAGAACTAACCCCTCTCAACCCAAGCTGAATTCCTGAAGCTTAAATAGCTGCATGCATGGCAGACATTCCACACATTAAGCCTTTTCCCCATCACATCATCCTGACACAGGGAAAAACTTTACCTGCTGAACTCATGACTGCTGGCGCTGAAAGAACCTGAGAGAGAGAAAAAGCGACCCAGTCATGCATAGGCACAGACTACAGTGATAGCTTACGTGGGTGGCACTGTGGGTTAAACCACAGAGCCTAGGGCTTGCTGATTGGAAGGTTGACGGTTCGAATCCCCACGACGGGGTGAGCTCCCGTTGCTCGGTCTCTGCTCCTGCCAACCTAGCAGTTCAAAAGCACGTCAAAGTGCAAGTAGATAAATAGTTACCGCTCCGGCGGGAAGGTAAACGGCATTTCCGTGTGCTGCTCT